GCCAGTCTCCAGGCGGGGCCTGGAGACCACCTGGACTCACAGGTGATTCTCCAGAATGCCAGAGGCCAGGTGTCCAGAGCAAAATGGCTCTTCCGGAAGGAGGATCCTGCGGTGTCCTGCCCTGCTGAGATCTCTCCCCAGGCCAAACCCCGCCCTCCCCGGGACCGACCCCCCCTAAATCCCCAGGAATTTCCAGGCCCAGAGCTGGCAGGCCCACCTACCCCCCCCACACACACACAAACACACACGAGATCTGGCTGGGCGGTGGCCCCGCCACAAGGGGGCTGAGGCCCTGGCCAACTTCTCCAGCAGGGACCTTGAGCCCTTGGAACCAAGGACACCCTCCCTGGCTGGACTCCCTTCCTGCGAGGGCCGGGGCGTTTCCCTGGGCGGGCACGCGTACCCCGTCAAGGTGCCCCGGGCGGGGCAGAGATAAAGGCGGGCATATCAGTGGGGGAAGGCGGCAACACCAGGCAGGCACCTCCGGACGGCTGGAGGCCAGGCGCTGCTGCTGCTGCTCTTCGCCTGCTCTAGAAGCCCCCCCCCCAGAACTCTCACCCGGAGCCCGTGGGCAGGACTGCGAAGGTGAGTCCCCCCCCCCACGCTGGCTTGCAGGGGCTGGGGAGAGCCTGGGATGGGGTGGGGGCAACGCTCAAGAGGCTTCAGATCTGTCCTGGGGAGGGGGGCACAGGGGGACCCAGCTCTGTTCTCCGTGTCACGGGGAGGGGAGGAGAGAAAGTGCCCCCCCCCCGAAGCAGACCTTCCTCCTGGAGGGTGGCGCTTTGGCATCCAGGGCACTCTTCGCCAGCTAGCCTTCCCCGTCAGCAGGGGCACCCGGAAGGCCTTGTTTCGGGTGCCCCCTCTTGATGTCGGGTAGGGGGAGCTCTCTTTGCCAAATGCCCCTCCCTCCGAGGCCCCCTCCCTCATATGGCATCAGGGTCTGGTCAGGCCTCGCCTCGCTCCCCGAGAGGGGGGGCTCTCCCCCAAGCAACGAGGGCCCACCGGCCTTTGGGGTCCAGCTTCTGTGTTGAGGTGTCTCTTGCATTCTCGGGGCAGCCGCCTCGCAGGCCGGGGCGGAGAGGTGGAGTGGAGACAGGCTCTTGGGCCACGGGGCCGCCCCCCGTGCTACCACAGGAAGGTCACTCCGGCTGCTGGTGTGATCGAGTTGGGGCGTGGACCCCCTTCCCCACAGGTGCCCTATCTCCCCACCAGCCACGGACCCACGCAGCAAGGGGCTCCTCCGGATCTGGGTTCCCTCTAAGCTGAGTTACAGTGTGAGCTAGAGTCACAGTTTTTTCCCCACCGGCTCACACATCTGTGTCTTAGCCCAGGAAGGAGGGGGCTCCAGAGCAGACTAATTTACGCGGCAGCCCAATCGCTCACAACTTTGATGCCGGGAGCTCACAAAGGAGGATTTCTGCTCCCAGGACTCCGCAGCTCAGAGGGAGCAGTGTTCCCTCTAAGCTGAGTCGGTGTGAGCTAGCTCACCGTTTTTTAACCTCTGGCGCACACAGTTTTTTGCCCTCGCTCAGGAAGGGATGGGGCTCCAGAGCAAACTCATTGATGCAGGAGCCAAATCGCACAAGGGAGGATCTCTGCTCACAGGACTCCGCAGCTCGGAGGGAGCCTCGCTCTGGGTCGCCACGGGCCAGGGCAGCTGTCTGTCCATTCCCACGCCTGGCACTCGCCCCTGCTCCCTGCTGTTCCACGCCAGGTGCAGTGCCCTTGAAGAAAAGAGTCACCTTCCGGACTGGCTGGGAAAGCTTCCCCGCTGGCTTGCCCCCCCCTCCTGGCCCTGAAAGGCGGTGCCAAAGCCAGGCAGTGCTTTGCCCTTGGGGCTGCCACGGCAGGGGAGGAGAGGCCAGGCGGGGGCGAGGGGAGGCCCGCAGCTCTTGCCCGAGGCTGGGGGGGGTCCGAATGCCCCCCCACCCCATCAGCCCACACCCCTGGCAGAGCCCCTTCCTTCTCAGGACGCGGGGCCTCACTTCCCGAGTGCCCCTGGCCCCACGCTGGCTGGCTGTGTCCTAGGCCCTGGCATTCCACCGGGGAGGCGCCTGAGGTCAGAATCATTCACCTGGGTGCTGCTTCAGGTGTTCTCCCCTGCTGAAAGGAGGCCCAGGGCAGGAAAGAGTACGAGAAAGCCAGACCGCCCCCCCCCCGCCCTGCCTCCTGCACTCCCCAGCCTGACCCCATTGCTTGTTGCCGTCTGTCGCCCACCTTGAGACTCCGTGAGAAAGGCGGGCTGTACGTGAAGAGGACACACAACACAGCAAAATCCGTGCTGGGGGCACCTCAGCTGGTGGGCTCACTTCAGCTCCTCTTCAGGGAAGGGGGGATTTTATTTCCCTCCATTTATACCCCACCCCCCCCCCCCGACCGCGAACCCGGAGAGGCGCCCGTCCGGGTGTTCCCTCTAAGCTGGGTGAGTGTGAGCTAGCACACAGTTCTTTAGCCTCCGGCTCACAGATTTTTGTCCTGGCTCAGGAAGGATGGGGCTCCAGAGCAGACTAATTTATGCAGCAGCCAAATCGCTCGCTCACAACTCTAATGCCAGCGGCT